TCTTGAGAGTCCCTTGGACAGAAAGGAGAACAAACCAGTCAATCCTAAAGGAAATCAATACTGACTATTCATTGGAAGCACTGATGCTGAAGTTGAAGCTCCAATACCTCTGTCACCTGGTGCAAAGAGGTGACTGACTGGAAAAGACCATAATGCTGGGAAACTAACAGCAGGAGGAGAAGGGGAGACAGGATGAGATGGTTGGATGCATCACCAAATCCATGGACATGAATTTGAGCAAACTCCGGGAGATGGTAAAGGACAGGGAAGCTTGGCTTGCAGTAGTTCATGGGGTTGCAAAGAGATGGACAAGACTGAGCAACTGAACAACAACAAATCATCTACATGTGGAATCTAAAAAAGCAAAATCTGTAAAAACAGAGTAAGAAATTGTGGTTAACCAGAGGATAAGGGGTGAGGTAATACAAAAGATTTTGTACAACCTGAGTAGTAAATAGAGATCTGAAGCACAGCATGATGAATACAGACAATACTGCACTATAATCACCAAACGATAATAGACTAGAATTTAACTATCACAACCAATAAACTGAAAAAATAATTATGTAATGTGATACCGGTGCTAATTACCACTACAATGGCAATCACATTACAATACATAAATGTATCAAATTAGTATGTTGTATACCTTAAGTTTACATGTTTTATGTCAAATGTACAATAAATCCGAAAAGAATGTGTACATGAAAAGAAAAAATTGTGTACATGAAAGGCTGCTAAATGATAAATAATAAGGATTAAATCATACAGGATGTTGAAACACTAAAATAATAATAGTGAGAGGACTTCTGGCATTTCCAAGTGGCTCAGTGGAGACACAGGAAATGCCGGTTTGATTCCTGGGCCGGGAGGGTCTCCTGGGGGAGGAAATGGCAACCCCCTTTAGTATTCTTGCTGGGAAAATCCCATGGACAGAGGAGCCTGGCAGGCTACAGTCTGTGGAGTCACAAAGAGCTGGACACGACTGGGCATATACACATGAGAGGATGTCTACTTCTTGTCATACATGTAAAGAGCTTGGAAGTCATTACTTCCATTTTCACAATAAGAAAAAACTCAGCAAACGTTTAAAATGAAACATCTTATTTGGGCTTCCTTGATAGCTCAGTTGGTAAAGAATCTGCCTGCAATGCCAGAGACCCCAGTTCAATTCCTGGGCTGGGAAGATCCTGTGGAGAAGAGATAGGCTACCCACTCCAGTATTCTTGGGCTTCCCTTGTGGCTCAGCTGGTAAAGAATTCACCTGCAATGTGGGAGACCTGGGTTTGATACCTGGGTTGGGAAGATCCCCTGGAGAAGGAAAAGGCTACCCACTCCAGTATTCTGGCCTGAAGAATACTGCAGAGGGTACAGTCCTGGAGAATAAATGGCTATAGTCCATGGGGTCGCAAAAGGTCGGAAGCAACTGAGCGACTTTCACTTTTTCTTATTTAAATCAAGGCAAAATGCTGCCCCCAAAACTGGAGACAGAGGTGCATAAAAGCAGGTTATTGGCAGCTGAAGTGCAGGAGCAGAAGCTCACTGCTGGAGTCAGTACTAGTGAGAATGAGTGTCAGTTGCTCAGTAGTGTCTGACCCTTTGTGACCCCATGGACTGTAGCCTGCCAGGCTCTTCTCTCCATGGGATTTTCCAGGCAAGAATACTAGAGTGGTTTGCTATTTCCTTCTCCAGGGGATCTTCCCAATCCAGGGATCAAACCTGGGTCTCCTGCGTTGCAAAAAGAAAATCTTAAAAGACTTCAGGGCAAAACAAAAACAAAATAGAAATATAACTTATATGTAGAGGGATAAGGATAAAAATAACTTTTACTTCTCATCAAACTATACTAGCAAGAATAGAATGGAGAGAAATTTAAAGTGTCTAAAGAAAAAAAAAATCAACCAACCTAGAATTTTATTAATTTGAGACAAGGCAGACTTCAGAGCAAGGAAAATTACCAGAAATAAAGAGAGCCCTACATGATAATAAAGGGGGTCAATATCTAAGAAAATATAACAATCCTTAATAAGTATGCACCGAACAACAGAGCAACAAAACACGTGAGGCAAAAATAGAACTGCAAGGAGAAACTGACAAATGTATTACATTTACTGTTTTCAATACCATCTTATCAGTAACTGACAGATACAACAGGCTGAAGATCCACACCTTAACAAATTTAAAAGAACAAAAGTCATGTGAAATATACTTTTGATCACAATAGATTGAAGCTCTATTATTCCAATGCAAAAACTAGATAAATATCTCTCACAAATAAGATGCAAAAATCCTCCACAAAATAATAACCAATGATGTGAAACAATGTATAAAAATGATTCTAAAAAAAAATTCTATATCATGACCAAGGAGGATTTATTCCAGGTATACAATGTTGACTCAATAATTAAAATCAATTAATGTAGCTCATCACATCCACAGACAAAAGAAAAAATCATTTGATCAATCAGAGATGCAGAAAAATTATTTTAAAAAATCTAAACCCTGTTCATGATAAAAACTCTAAGAAACCAAGAATAGTGGGAACTTCTTCAATTTGATAAATGACATCTACCAAAACCCAACAGATAACATCACACTTAACAGTAGAAAACTAAATGCTACCATTATCATATCAGGATAAATCAAGGATGTCTCTTCTCACAACTCTTATCCAGTATCATAGTGAAGTGAAAGTGAAAGTGACTCAGTTGAGTCCAACTCTTTGCAATCCCATGGACTATAGAGTCCATTGAATTCTCCAAGCCAGAATACTGGAGTGGGTAGCCTTTCCCTTTTCCAGGGGATCTTCCCAACCGAGGGATCAAACCCAGGTCTTCCATATTGCAGGCAGATTCTTTCCAGCTGAGCCACAAAGGAAGCCCAAAAATATTGGAGTGAGTAGCCTATCCCTTCTCCAGGGGATCTTCCTGACCCAGGATTCTTTACCAACTGAACTATCAGGGAAGCCCTATCATAGTGAAAGTCCCAGCTAATGTAATAAATCAAGAAAAGGACATAAAAAGTATATAAATTGAGAAAAATAAACAAAACTCTTCTTGTTGAACAACAACAGCAACAAAACTCCTGGAATTATAAGCTGGCTATAGCAAGGTTTCCAGATGCACGTTAACACACACACGTCACTGATTTCCCACACATCAGCAGTAAACAGGTGAAATTTGAAATTGACCACAATACCATTCCTATTAGCATCAATAATGAAATCTAACAGATATAAAGGAGTCATCAAAGATTTAGAGTAGAGATTTTTCCATTTTCATGGATAGGAAGTTTCAATATTGTTAAACTGTCAGCTCCTTCCAAACCGATTCAGTGCAATCCCAATCAAAATCCCAACAAGTTATTTTGTGGAAATTGATAAAATGATTCTAAACTTTATATGGAAAAGCAAAATACCTATGGTAGCTGACACAATATTGAAGAAAAACAAGGTGAGAGGACCCAACTTCAAGACTTACTAAGAGCTACAGAAATCAAGACAACTGGTGAAAGAATAGTCACATATGTCAAGATGACAGAACAAAGAGATATAGACCTATACAAATACAGTCAATAATTTCTGACAGAAAAGCAAAAGCTCTTCAACGGAGAAAGGATTGTTTTTTCAACAAATAGCACTGACACAATGGGACAGCCAAATGTGAAAAAAAAAAAAAAAAAGGGAAAGGGTATCTAGACACAGACGTCACACCTTACCAAGAATTAACACAGAATGGATCATAGACCTAAATGTAAAATGCAAACCTATAAATGTCCTAGAAGGTAACACAGATGAACGTTTTGGGGATCTCAAGTTTGGTGTTGACTTTTCAGGTAGAACACCCCAAAAGCACAATCCAAAAAAAAAACTGATAAGTTGGACTTTATTAAGAAAAATACACATATGACTTATGTTCTGTGAAAGACACTGTTAAGAGAGAGATAATACAAGTCACAGGCTGGGAAAAAATATTCCCAGAACATATATCTGAAAAAAATTTGTTATCTGAAATATACAAAACTCTTAAAACTCCACCATTAGAAAAGAACACAACTGTAACATGGGCAAAAATGTGAACAGATATTTTATCAAAGAAGTCATTTAGATGGCAAATAAGAATATGAAAAGATGTTCTATATATATATATATCATAAAGGAATTGAAAATTGAAAGAACAGTGAGATATCACTACATAACTATAGCTAAAATCCAAATGCTGAAAACAGCAAATGATCTCAGAAATTTGGAGCAATGGGAAACTTGATTTGTAGCTGGGAGGAAAGCAAAACACTACAGCCACTTTGAGGACGGTTTGGCAGTTTCTTACAAAGTTAACAGTTTTACTATATGATTTAGCAACCGTGCGAAAATATATGTTGCCACAAAAGTTATGTAGCATCCAGCAGGTGTTAAGTTGTTTATACACAATTAATAAAGAAGCTGTTTGGCTTTTCTTGTGGTTTAGGATCATTATGACAAAAACTACTGACGTCATACAAAACACTATGAACTTCTGTCTGAACTGTTTACAGAAGACAGAAGACTGTATACAGAAGACTGTATAAATAATTATCATAAGAAAGCAAATATGGCTATACTATTATCAGATAAAATAAATATTAAGGCAAAAAATGTATTCTTAGAGATAAAAAATATACTTTTATAGAGATGAAGGCTCAAGCTTACCAGGTAAATATAACAAGTATAAATTCATACACATTTAATAACATCATTTCCAAATACATTACACCAATCTGGTAAAAAACTACCAGGAAACACAAAGAAATCCATTTTCATAGATGGGAAATGTAACATATATCTCTTAGTAACACAGAATAAACATAACTTCAATTAAAGAAGAACTGAACAACACAGTAAATACATTTGATGTAACAGATGTATACAAAAGATATGATTAAACATTCACAAACCTAAGAGAGGATTTTTTGCTTTTTACTTTATTTAAAAATAAATTAATATTGAAATTTATCATACTTACTATTCAGGGTTTCCATTCTGCCAGCTCTAAGTTTCTCAGTTTGAGACTGGCTTTTTGATCCAACTTCATCCTTAGATGATACGTCTCTTGCTTTCTGAGCTACAAGAAAGGTGTTTTTAATCCATTAAGTAGAGAACTGGATTTACTGAAAATCCTCTGTAACTCAAACACACTTCAATTATCCAGGAATATTTCTTCTCATAGTTTGAAACAATAAAGTCAAATACCACATTATTGAGACAGTGACTTATAGAGTAAGTATGTGAAGTGTAGAGAGATGTGAAATGTAGAGACTTTTCAAAAGAATAGTTTTATGAGGTATTTACATTTTAGGATTAAATGTGATATTTTCTTAACAGAGATGGGTGAGAAAAAAGAACAAATGATAAATAGTATATTTAAACATTTAGAATATTTACACTGGATTAAAAAATAACTAATTAGAACTTCCCTGGTGGCACAGTGCCTAAGAATCTGCCTGTCAATGTGGGGGACATGGGTTCAAACCCTGGTCTGGGAAGATTTCACAAACAGTGGAGCAATTAAGCCCACGCACCACAACTACTGAAGCCTGCATGCCCTAGAGCCAGCAAGTTGCAACTACTGAAGCCTGTGTGCCTAGAGCCTGTGCTCAGCAATGAGAAGCTATCACAAAGAGAAGCCTATGCACCACAACTAGAGAGTAGCTCCTGCTCTCTGCAACCAGAAAAATCCCAAGTGTAACAATGAATAAATACAGCAGTGTGTACATGTAAAACAAAAAAATAAAACATTGCTGAAAAAAATTAGGGAAGGTTTAAATAAATAGAGAAATATATTTAAAACAAAAAAATCCAAAAACCAAACAAAAATAAGCAATTATATAGAACTAAATCATAATATGAAAAGGTTAAGAATAAAGGGATAAAAAATCATTCCATGCAAATAGTTACATAAAGATACTATGCCAACATCAGATAAAATAAAGGTACAAAAAATTACTATAAAATGTCCATGATAAAGACAGAATTTCAGTTCAATAAGAACATATAACAAATTAAAATCTGCATATTTATTATACATACTTTTATGTAATATATCACCTATTATATGACATAGATCATGCATCTGTATTTTTATATAATAAAGCTTTAGAAACGTAAAACTGAAATTGACAGAACAAAGAGTAATGGAACAATAAACACAGTAGTTGAATTTAACATACCTTTCTCACAAATGATAAAATAAACATAGAACTTCAATGAAATTAAGAAGGTAAAAACATCATAGTCAATCAACTTCACCTAATGGAGAACATATATATACAAACACATATATGTTATGTATATGTGTGCATGTAAGTATATATGATACACATATAGCATATATTCCTGTGATCAACTGAATAAATATTAAAGAACTAGAGAAAGTTAATTAAAAATCATTATATGATATTCTTACTACAAGGCCTCACTTTTCTGATAGTTCCAAGTGTCTTAATTCAAGATGAGTTTTATAAGATTTAAACTTTTTCTTTAGGTGTAAGATTTCATCTGACAATTCATCCATTTTCTCAGCTACAAGTATAGAGGCTCTTAATCCAATAAAAAGTAAAACAGCTGGACTGTGAAATCTTTGGATTATTAATGTATACCAAGAACTTAAAGTTTCCATCCAACTTTACAACAAGTAAATACACACAGTTTAAACAAATGATCAAACCATCCTCCCTTTGCCCACCCCACCCCCTAATCTGATAGCGCATTTTCACAATGGACTATGAAATTAAGTATAAAATCTTCAGACTGGTTTCCTCAAAGTATGTGGAAGACTTGTTACTGCATACAAACACTTAAAAAGTTGTAATGAGAGTTTATTGTACTAAGGCTATTCATATTTAAAAATACTTCAAAACTTTTAACAACATATATAATGGGTTTAAAAGTTACACTGATTAAAAAGTAATAATTCCAAAATAAGGAAAGAAATAGAAAGAAACCTGGATCAGGTACAAAAATTAGAAAGCACCCAAAAAAGGAAATACTTAAATATATTAGTAAGTACAATAATTATAAGTGGATTACATGTTGTTGGGCTAGAAAAAGACAGTCACACTGGATTTATAAGCAATTTAACTATAGTCTATAAGGGTGTCACCAGTTTATAAGAATATAGAAACTGGAAAATAAAGAGGTGAAAAAAGATATGCAAATATGAACCAAAAGAAATCTGCAGTAGTTATATCAGCGCCATACAAACTAGGATTTTAATCAAAAGACTTTACTAGAGACAGACTAAGATGCTACTGTTTATAAAAAGAAAATGTTGAGTACATAAGGACTATCAAACATTTTTATTTGTATGCTCCTAACAACACAGACAGTATAAGGAAAAAGAACAATGCTACAAAAATAGGTAAATCCACAATCATATTGATAGAATTCAGTACAGACATTGAGCCATAATGGATAGAAGAAACAAAATTTGAAGAAATCAAGAAATAGGAATTTAAATAACACAGTAAAAACTTGACTTTGATGCCTGTAAGCTCACACATTCATGGACATAATTCTGCTTAAAACAATTAAAATGCAAAATAATTTAATAACATTCATAATAATATTTACTACCGAGTCTTTTCCTTCTAGAAGTTCCAAGTGTCAGGCAAAAGATTTTCATTTGATACCTCATTAATTTTCTGGGCTTTAGGAAGAATGGTGCATAAAAAAAATAAATAGAGAATCAGAAATCTGCAGTGGAAACTCTAGATTTACAATTTATGTCAGTTATCCAACAATACTGTACCTTATCTTTAAATGATATAAACAAATCACTGTCGATTTGAAGTTCAAACATCATGTGAATATGTTTTTCACACGTATATATGAAGCAGTCGTTACTTTCCAGATATACAGATGCATCAAATATATTTAAAGCAACAGTTAGAACTGAACATGGAACAACAGACTGGTTCCAAATAGGACAAGAAGTATGTCAAGGCTGTATATTGTCACCCTGCTTATTTCACTTATATGCAGAGTACACCATGAGAAACGCTTGGCTGGATGAAGCACAAGCTGGAATCAAGATTGCCAGGAGAAATATCAATAACCTCAGATATGCAGATGATACTACCTGTATGGCAGAAAGTGAAGAAGAACTAAAGAGCCTCTTGATGAAAGTGAGAGAGGAGAGTGAAAAAGTTGGCTTAAAGCTCAACATTCAGAAAACGAAGATCATGGCATCTGGTCCCATCACTTCATGGTAAATAGATGGGGAAACAGTGACAGACTTTATGTTTTTGGGCTCCAAAATCACTGCAGATTGTGACTGAAGCCAAGAAATTAAAAGACGCTTACTTCTTGGAAGGAAAGTTATGACCAACCTAGATAGCATATTAAAAAGCAGAGACATTACTTTGCTAACAAAGGTCCATCTAGCCAAAGCTATGGTTTTTCCAGTAGTCATGTATGGATGTGAGAGCTGGACCATAAAGAAAGCTGAGTGCCGAAGAATTGATGCTTTTGAACTGTGGTGTTGGAGAAGACTCTTGAGAGTCCCTTGGACTGCAAGGAGANTTTGAACTGTGGTGTTGGAGAAGACTCTTGAGAGTCCCTTGGACTTCAAGGAGATCCAGCCAGTCCATCCCAAAGGAGATCAGTCCTGGGTGTTCATTGGAAGGACTGATGTTGAAGCTGAAACTCCAATACTTTGGTCACCTGATGTGAAGGGTTGACTAATTGGAAAAGACCCTGATGCTGGGAAAGACTGAGGGCAGCAGGAGAAGGAGATGACAGAGGATGAGATGGTTGGATGGCATCACTGACTCAATGGACATGAGTTTGGATAAACTCTGGGAGTTGGTGATAGACAGGGAGGCCTGGGTGTGCTACAGTTCATGGGGTCACAAAGAGTCAGAAATGACTGAGCAACTGAACTGAACTGAACAAATATATTTAATTTGGAAATACTATTACTATATTATTATAAATACTTACATTTTAAATTATTATTTAGTTTTCTTATAGCATTTGTAGTTTTGAATAAAGCTTAAAATTTTTGGTATTAAATATGGCCAAGGAAAACACATATCATGATAAAAAACATAGTGAAAGACTGAAAGAAATATATCAGATAGAAAAATAGTGGAATAATACTTAAACATATCAATAATCAGATTATATATGATTATTAAAGGTAATTAAAAGATCAGGCTGAATTCTATGAATTTCTCACCAGAAATTCAGCAATATCACAAAGATACAGGAAAATTAAAGTAACAGGAGAGAAAAAAATGTATCATGCAAATATCAACCAAAAGAAAGTTTGTGGAACTACACTGATAGCAGACAAGGTAGTTTTAAAGAAAAACAAATAAAAACTATAAAAATCATGTTAAGTCTCTCCCTTAGGATAAAATGCTCTGTCCCCAAGAATAATATCACTTTAAAATTTATATGCAAAAAAATAATAGACTATCACAAGATATAAACCAAAGCCTGTCACAACTACGAGAATAGAGAAATCCACAAAGTGTAAGATATAACACATTTAATTCAGTGATTACAAAAGAGATAAATCATCAATAAAGATCTGAAATACAATGAGAATGTACAGTGGGCATTGCAAAGTGCAAAGTACAATGGGCTTCCCGGGTAGCTCAGTTAGTAAAGAGTCTGACTGCAATACAGGAGACCTGGGTTCAGTCCCTGTGTTGGGAAGATCCCCTGGAGAAGGAAATGGCAACCCATTCTGGTATTCTTGCCTGGAGAATCCCTTGGACAAAGGAGCCTGGCAGGCTGCAGTCTACAGGGTCGCAAGAGTCTGACACGACTGAGTGACTAAGCGCACGGCATGCATATTCAGCACCGTGCACAATAAGAGTAATTACTAAATTAGCAAATGGTTGAAGTTATATTCATAAACAAAAAACAGCATTCTGAAATTAATTACATGCAGTTTATAAGATTTATGTTTAATTACTTACCATCAAGATTCTCCTTTTTGATAGCTCTAGGTTTCTGAGTTTGGGATTGCTTAATTGAAAACAAATCCTTCTTCTCAGGATGCAGATTTTCAACTGTTATCATATCGTTTTTCTGGGTTTGAAAAGGATATGCTAGGTAGAAAAAAATACATGTATAATGGAACTTCTGGATATGACAAATAATCAAATTTTCTTTGCATAGAGCTGAACTAAGAAACATCATGTGAATAATTTTCAAGAGTGTGTGTGAAAGCAGGTTTTTTTTACTGAGTAATTATTGACTGTGCAAATACCAACAAAAAGGTATTATTAGTTTTGCCATTGTTTTCTAATTATCTTAGGTCATTCATTTTCACTTATATAAAATATATGCTCAAATACATATTCATGAACTAAAGGAAAAAAAATCTTCTGATGAGTTTAAAATAATTTAACATTTCCTTTAATTATTATACTTACTATAGCGTCTTTCCTCTGGGGAACCTATATGTTTCTTCACTTGCTTTTGGGGTTTTGAAACTAAATCTTCATCCACAAGCAGAGGATGTTGACCTGACGCTCCATAAAAACCTATATAAAAAGATGCATTTAGTCTACTACATGGAAAAATAGAACGATTGGGCAATATCTAGATTTCAAATTTATAATCAGTGTACAGTAACATTTTCTCTCATTTTTATGAAGTCATAAGTCATTTACTAATATTATAATGCTAGATCTGTCATAAAACTAGATGATGTTGAAGCTATCTCATTATATAAATTTTCATAAGCAGCAAGTATATTTTATTTTTTGGAGGGGAAATTGGCTTTTTATTTTTATTTTTTTAATAAATTTATTTATTTTTGATGGAGGCTAATTACTTTACAATATTGTAGTGGTTTTGCCATACATTGACATAAATCTGCCATGGGTGTACATGTGTTCCCCATCCTGAACATCCCTCTCACCTTCCTCCCCATCCCATTCCTCTGGGTCATCCCAGTGCACCAGTACAAGCACCCTGTCTCATGCATTGAACCTGGACTGGCAATCCATTTCACATATGATAATATGCATGTTTCAATGTCATTCTCCCAAACCATCCCACCCTCGCCCTTTCCCACAGAGTCCTACATCTGTGTCTCTTCTGCTGTCTCATATATAGGGTTATCGTTACCATCTTTCTAAATTCCATATATATGTGTTAGTATACTGTATTGGTGTTTTCCTTTCTAGCTTACTTCACTCTGTATAATATGTTCCAGTTTCATCCCCCTCATTGAACTGATTCAAATGTATTCTTTTTAATGGCTGAGTATTATTCCATTGTGTATATGTACCAAAACTTTCTTATCCATTCATCTGCTGATGGACATTGAGGATGCTTCCATGTCTGGGCTATTATAAACAGTGTTTCAGTGAACATTGGGGTACACGTGTCTCTTTCAATTCTGGTTTCCTCAATGTGTATGTGCAGAAGTGGGATTGCTGGGTCATATGGAGGTTCTATTTCCAGGTTTTTAAGGAATCTCCACACTGTTCTCCATAGCGGCTGTACTAGTCTGCATTCCCACCAAGTGTAAGAGGGTTGCCTTTTCTCCACACCCCTCTCCAGCATTTACTGCCTGTAGACTTTTGGATAGCAGCCACTCTGGTGTGAAATGGTACCTCATTGTGGTTTTGATTTGCATTTCTCTTGATAATGAGTGATGTTGAGCACCTTTGCATGTGTTTGTTAGCCATCTGTATGTCTTCTTGGGAGAAATGTCTGTTTAGTTCTTTGGCCCATTTTTTGATTGGGTCGTTTATTTTTCTGGAATTGAGCTGCAGGAGTTGCTTGTATATTTTTGAGATTGTCAGTTGCTTCATTTGCTATTATTTTCTCCTATTCTAAAGGCTGTCTTTTCACCTTGCTTGTAGTTTCCTTCATTGTGCAAAAGCTTTTAAGTTTAATTAGGTCCCATTTGTTTATTTTTGCTTTTATGTTCATTACTCTGAGAGGTGGGTCATAGAGGATCCTCTTGTGATTTATGTCAGAGAGTATTTTACCTATGTTTTAGTCTAGGAGTTTTATAGTTTCTGGTCTTACATTTATATCTTTAATCCATTTTGAGTTTATTTTTGTGTATGGTGTTAGAAAGTGTTCTAGTTTCATTCTTTTACAGGTGGTTGACCAGTTTTCCCAGCACCACTTGTTAAAGAGGTT